GCAGCCATAGAAGTTTGGCGCTTCTAACCGGCAGAGGCTGGCTGGCTGGCGGGGCACGGGCTGGGGCGGCAGGAGCCCACCCTGCCTGGGGCAGCTGCCCTCCCGCTGGAAGGAGACAACCCCTGCCCCCAGCGGGCATCCCGCTGACGGTGCGACCCACGGGCTCTCTTATCAGGGAGTTCCGTCCGAGGGGAAGCGGTGGCCCCCGTCCCGGGGTGGGGGGCCTTAGTCTGAAGGGGCAAGCAGACCTTATCCTTGGGGTGGTCCCAGTCTGGTGAAACACAGGTCCCAGCACCGGGAAGCCCCCGTCCACAGGATGAGGTATCGGAGAGACGGACCACAGCTGAGGGAGATGATACCCCAAGAGCTCCTCAAACCAGAGGGGGTTGGGGCCTCTGGTCTGGGGCTGGGGAAGGGCAGGGGTGGAGGGGGCAGAGCGGAGAGAGAGCAGGCTGGGACCAGCCTCTACGCTGAGTTCCTCCGGGGCAGGTGGAGACGACTCACATGTGGGCCCTCGCAAGGCCTGAGCCACGAACAACCAGTGGTCTAGGGACACATGGTGCGGCCCCCCACCCTCTCCTCCCTGGCTGCTGCCCCCTGCGTCCGGTCCACAATGCCAGGTAACTGCCTACAGGACATGCGGCCTACACCCCCACCCCACCCCCCAGGGGGCCCAGCACCCACTCTGGGCCCACCCCATCTCTAATGCACCAGCTAACTTGGAGACAGGAAACACACAGTAGGTGTCATTAAATGGGAGCTACGACATGTCAAGCGCCTGCCGCATCAGGTGTCCACTGATTTAATCCTCATAGCCACCTTGTAAGTGTTGCTAGCCCGCATTCTATAAATGTGGAAATGGAGACTCAGGAGAAGGTTCCTGAAGTCGGCCAACGTCATACAGCTATTGAGGGGCCACAGCCTCTCTCTTTCCCCCAGAGGGCATTGCTGTGGTGGTCAGAGGCAACCCCAGAAAATAAAGGGTTGAGGCCTCGGGGTGATACCAGTTTGGGTTTGGACAAGCCTGCCTACCCCTGAGTCTGGTGTTCTCCCTGCCTCCCACCGGCTGTGGCCCTCCCACCCGCCAAGGCAGACAGAGCCCGGGCAGTTGAGCACTGCCATCTAGTGGCCACGATGGCTCAGCTCCCTTCCTCAGGGACGCAACAGGGGATGGGCAGACTGAGGGGCGCACGAGGAGTCCCCCAGGGACAGCCATGTTCTCTTCATCCCACCCACGCCTGCTGCCCACCAGGCTGTGCCAGGCACGGGGAGAGGGTCGGGGGCTCAGGCAGAGCCAGCAGCAGCAGTCGGACTCAAACCAGCCCCTGGAATTGGAGGCTGGCGAACCTGGAGAACACTAGGCACCTCATGGGTGGGCCAGGGCCAGATGCGGCGTCGGTCTGTCCGGAGAGGCGCTTGGGCCTGTCGGCAGATGGGCACCCTGGCGGGTTCTGACGCAGGGGAGGGGGCCCCTGGGGTAGGAGGTCATCGTTGTTGTTTTTTTTTAAGATTTTATTTATTTATTTTTAGAGAGGGAAGGGAAGGAGAAAGAGAGAGAGAGAAACATCAATGTGTGGTTGCTGGAGGTCAGGGCCTGCAACCCAGGCATGTGCCCTGACTGGGAATGGAACCTGCAATGCTTTGGTTCGCAGCCCAAGCTCAATCCACTGAGCTACGTACGCCAGCCTGGGCAGGAGGTCATCTTATCTCTACCTTGACGGGAAGCGGCCCGGCTTGGCAGTAGGCCCCCGAGGAGGGGCACCCAGGCATCCCCTCCCCGGCCCACAGCTTTCTGCTGTCTAGGGAAGAAGTGGGCCTGGGGCTCGGCCTGAGGCTGCAGACATTGAGGCCCGATGGTCAGGGTAGCAGGAGAGGAAGCGCCGTGCGGGTGAGGGCTGAGCCAGGCCAGGGGGTGCAGGTAGCAGTGGAGGCTGAGAGCTCTGTCTGCCCGGGGCAGACATGCATCACAGTGTAACCTAGAACAGAGAGAAACCGAGAGAGAAAGACAGAGAGAGAGAGAACATAATTAACAGGAGGGCTGGGTAAAATCAATGCATACAGAGGAAAACCATGTAGCTGTTAAAATGATGATGTAAACAAATATTTATTGATATGGAAAGATGTTCACAACATATTGTTGAGTTAAAAAAAAAGCAAATTACAAAATAATTTGTGCAGCATGAGCTCCCTTGTGAAAACATGAATTTGTACGGGGGGGGGGGCGGGGGGAGGGGAATCTCCAGGTGGCCAAATTAGAGCTAATTCAGATTTGCATATGCGTGTATCTGGGTTTCCTGCTCTTTCTACAAGGACTGCACAATACAAACGCCGTGAGTTGGGCGCACAACCATGACCGAGCCCGTCTCCCGTGCTGATTCTCTGTGTGGGCGACCTTGGGGACGGCCTGGGTGCGGGGATGGGTCTGAGAGCCACGGGGGACTCGAAGATGGAGCAAGAGGCCTGGGTCTGTGATGGGGGCCGCGGGAGGGGACCGGAGGGAGGGAAGGTGGATCCTCCACCTGCTGCTGCTGAAACGCACCTGCGTCTCACACACACACGCAGGTACAAGTCACTGGGCGTCACTGACGGATGAGCAATCATTAGGTCTGTTCCCCTCAGGGCTGCGTGGTGCCTCGACCAGACTTCTCTTGAACAAGAATCGGAGACCGCGCACTGGGACTTGCCTGGAAGCTGGAAAACGGTCACTGTTGGCCACGGAGAGGAGAGCTGGGACAAGGTTTTGTCCCCGGTCTTGCTCTTCTTTTCACGAGCTTTGTCCTTCCCCAGCCATCCCACCCACAACAAGGCCAACAGTCACTGAGCACCCCGTCTTCAGGATTCCCTCCCCACGAAATGGCCTAGGCTCTGGGGTCAGAAGTGGCTAAGATGGAGAGACTCTCCCCTCCTCTCTCTGTGCTGGAACTTACAGGGGCAACCCCATAACGTGCCCGGATGAAAAGCACCGTCTCCAGCACGGGCTAAGGGCATTGCCTGGGCTGGAGCGCAGGGGCCTGAGCCTCCTGGGAGAGCTGGGGAGGGGGGAGCGGCCAGGCCTCGTCTTCAGGCTGGAGACCGGGCAGCGCTGGGCTGGCCACCCCCCAGGGCCTTCCCCTCGTGCCCACTGAATGACTCACCTTGGCACGGACACAATGGCCGGGGGTGGGCACCGAGCCTGCTCCCCGCCGCACTCCAGCCCCCATCAGATGCTTTCTGAGAAGCTCTTTGAGCAGGGGGGGCTTGGGCTGTGCCCCTCCTAACGGCCTGACACCCTGGAACGAAAACAGCACAGCCCCCTGGGGGCCGCCCCCACTGTGTGGCGCCCTCACCGGCGGAGGAGAACAAGGGTCCATTCAGCCAGTGCCCGGGAAAAGGGACCAGAGGCCCAGGCATGGGCAGGGGGCAGAGTAGGGGTGGGCAGAGGAAGGCTGCCCCTTCCCAGAAGTCCATGGACACAGATGGCCGGGGGTCCTGGTCGGGGCACTGGCCCTTCAGGGCCAGAGTAAAAGGAGCGGATGGCTTTGAAGTCTCAAGGAGCAACGGGGTGCAGGCCCCAGGCTCCCAGTTTGGAAGCAAGGTTCACGGGTTCCCAAACCCACCCATCCCCAGAGGCCTTTCCCAACTTCTCAACCTACTGTGTGGGAACTCGGAGGAGATAAATCTCCAGGGTGAGAATGAGGTGAGGGGTGGCCAGGGAAACAGGGTACTGCAGAAACAAAATTGGGAGAAGGGACAGCCAGCTCATTCATAACTGCTTTGTGGAGCTGTCAGGCCCCGGGCTCCGGGAGGGGTGCAGGGAGGCTGGGCACGCAAGGGGGAGCCCGGTGCGGCTGAGGCAGGGGCCTGAGAGTGGTCCAGGGACGGCGCCACAGAGTGCGGGGCCTGCCCCTTCTCGCCCTGCCAGGTTCCTTTAGTCGTCTCCTCGCTGCTAAAGGCCTCGATCCACCCAGCAGACGAAGGGCTAGAGTCCAGTCCAGCCTGCAGCCCCAGAACCCCAAGGACGAGGAGAGAGCAGAAATCAGGTGCTGTGTTCAGAGGGAAGGACTCCAGCAATCTACTGGGACGTGGGCTCGGCAGGAAGCTACAATGTAGGCTGTTCCTCAAGGCTCTGGGGCCATTTTGTTCTCTGTCCAATGCCCAGCACCTGCAGGACGAGGGCCGACTGATGGGACGCCTGGGTTATGGGACCTGACAGTTAGAAGGCAGGTCACAGGTCACCTGGTCCAGCCTTTCCTTTCTTTCTTTTTTAAAAAATATTTATTTATCCCCTGGCTGGCATAGCTCAGTGGATTGAGCTTGGGCTGCGAACCAAAGTGTCGCAGGTTTGATTCCCAGTCAGGGCACATGCCTGGGTTGCAGGCCATGACCCCCAGCAACTGCACGTTGATGTCTCTCTCTCTCTCTCTCTCTCTTTCTCCCTCCCTTCCCTCTCTAAAAAATAAATAAATAAAATCTTTAAAAAATTTTTTTAAAATGTTTATTTATTTATATTTTTTTAGAGAGAAGGGAGGGGAGGAAGGGACAGAAAGAGGGAAGCATCAATGTGAGAGAGAAACATCATCGGTTGCCTCTCGCATGCTCCCTGACCAGGGACTGAACCGGCAGCCCAGGCATGTGCCCTGACCGGGAGTCGAACCAGCAACCTTTGGCTTTGTCAGACGATTCCCAACTGAGCCACACCAGTCAGGGCTCACCTCCCTTTCTGGACCCACCTTCCTAGAGAGAGGGTCTCCTGGGCCAGTGATCGGGCCTCGGCCCCAGCATCCGGCCCCAGGCACTGCCCACCAGCACCTCCGTCTGTGGCCAGACTGGCGCTGGCACCGGAGGAGGCCCTGCCTCTGGGCACAATGACCTCAGTGGGGTGAGAGGCGCTCTCCCCGTGGCTGGGCTGCAGCCCAGTCCCGCCCCCTCAGGCTATGCCAGGGGGTGTTTCCAGGGACACTCCGGGTGGTGCAGGGCCTGCTCACTCCTCCATAAAGCCCTCACATCCCAGGATCCCAGGAGCGAGCAGAGCCCAGCCAGGATGGAGAGGAAAAGGGTCGCCTCAGCTGCCCGCCGCTCCTATGTCTCCTCCTTCGAGACGGTGTCTGGGGGCCTGAGTCCCGGCCGCCGGCTGGGCCTGGGTCCCGGCTTCCGCCTCTCCCTGGCTCGAATGCCACCCCCGCTCCCAGCCAGGGTGGACTTCTCCCTCGCCGGGGCCCTCAATGCTGACTTCAAGGAGACTCGGGCCAGTGAGCGGGCAGAGATGATGGAGCTCAACGACCGCTTCGCCAGCTACATCGAGAAGGTGCGCTTCCTGGAGCAGCAGAACAAGGCCCTGGCCGCGGAGCTGAACCAGCTGCGGGCCAAGGAGCCCACCAAGCTGGCCGACGTCTACCAGGCTGAGCTGCGGGAGCTGCGGCTGCGGCTGGATCACCTCACTGCCGGCACCGCTCGGCTCGAGGTCGAGAGGGACAATCTGGCCCAGGACCTGGGCACCCTGAGGCAGAAGTAAGGGCCTGGGAGAGGGGCCTCCGGAGCAGGGAGGACTGAACCCCCAAGAGGAAGTGCCCACAAGCTTGCAGGGAATTGGGCTGGGGGGACCCTGCCTCCCTGCTCACTGGTTTCCACACCTATGGGGAGGGAGGGCTGTCCCTGGCCCCCCCAAATGTTGGGAGGGGCTGGGAGAAGGCCCAGAGTCTCAGGGATCTGTGTTCCAAAGACCTCCCACCAGGAAGAAAGGGTACCCTCCGCACCTCCCACTGGGAAAGTCTGGGCCAGAGCAGCCAGTGACCCCAGCAGAGAGGGTCTGTGTGTTTTATACACTGTGGGGCCCTGTGACCTCGGGCAGGGAGCTCACCTACCCTGAGCCTAGGTCTGTATAACGGAAGGATTGGAAGGGGAGTTTGGTGTGCACTGGGAGGCCTGGGGAGTGGGGGGAAGAGCAGGGCACCCTGGTTTCAGAGCACAGGTGACTCTGTCTATCACCAGCTTATGCTCCCATTCAAGGCACGTCAGCTTGCACAGCTGTGAAGCAGAGATCTTAATAAAACCCATTTCCAAAGGCCAGAGGAAATCCCGGGGGCATGGTGCTTTGCTGAGCCAGCTGGGCACGCGCCCTCAGGTGCAGGAGGGTGTGTGTGTGCGCATGTAGCAGTGAATGCGCGTTGGCAGAAGCACCTGCGTGAGCAGGAGGCGACAGCGACCCTGATAAGGCAGCTTAGTATTGAGTCAAAACAAAGGCTCGCATTGCCCTGGGGCCAGGTCTTTCCTCTCACCCCTCCCCTCTGTTAGTCCGGGGGTCCCGGTGGGAGGAGTCTCTCCAGCAGCCACCTGGGACAGGGCTCCACGGGTCCTGAGAAGAGCGCAGGCACAGGAGTGTGTCCCCCCCACTCCAGGCTCCAGGACGAAACCAACCTGAGGCTGGAGGCCGAGAACAACCTTGCCACCTATCGACAGGTTGGGGGGGATGGAGGGGTTGGTGGGGTGTGTCGGGCGGGGGGAAGGGTTGATGGCAGCCCACCCAGACACAGCCCCCAAGACCAGCCCTCCCAAGTGATCTGCTGTGCCCCCAGCCCCAGAAGGGGGGACCAGAAAAGGCTGGGGAGAGGAAGAGCCTGGTGTCGGAGTGACCCCTTGCCTCCTTCCCGCCGTAGGAGGCAGATGAGGCCACCCTGGCCCGGCTGGACCTGGAGAGGAAGATCGAGTCTCTGGAGGAGGAAATCCGGTTCCTGAGGAAGGTCCACGAGGAGGTAAAGCCAGGACAGAGGGAGGGAAGGCCACTCAGAGACGGGAACAGAGAGGGGGGGAGAGAGAGAGAGAGAGAAACTGAGTGAGACAGAAGCAGAGAGATGTCACTGAATGAGAGCCACAAAACCTTGTCGCCTCCTTTTTCCTTGCGACAGCCCTGTGAGATGGGAAACCCTTCAGCATTACCCCCGTTCACAGAGGCTGCTGATGCCCAGAGAGGTCCGAGAGCTTGCCCAAGTCGCACACTCAGTCTCCCTGACCCCGTTCCTTCTGCCTTCTGTCTCCGCTTCACTGAGAACCACTCATAACGAGGAAGATCCCATGAGCTCTGACCTCAGGTCATGGACTCAGCATACGTGACCCCATGGAACCCGGGAACCCGCGGGCACACGCACACACACAGGGACTCAGATGCCCCCTTGTAAGGATACAGGCACATGTTCAGTGCCCCTGCACATCCAAGCCGGGGAGGATGCCATGAGGCCCCCAAACTCTCCACTGCCTCCCCAGCCTGGGCCACGCAGTTCCACCAGCTAGGGACCGTCTTGCTCCCCTTAGCCAGCGTCGGTGTCCGACAACCAGGCGGAAGAGGGCATGACGGTATGGGCAACCCCGCCACGGCGGCCGTGGCTCTGAGCCCTGCTATCCCCTTTCGTCCCCTGGTCAGGAGGTGCGGGAGCTCCAGGAGCAGCTGGCCCGGCAGCAGGTCCACGTGGAGCTGGACGTGGCCAAGCCGGACCTCACGGCGGCCCTGCGAGAGATCCGCACCCAGTATGAGGCAGTGGCGTCCAGCAACATGCACGAGGCAGAGGAGTGGTACCGGTCCAAGGTAGCCCTGTGGGCCAGCCTGCCTCCTCCAGGCAGCCCTCCCGGCTCCATACAAGAGAATCAGGAAAGGAGTGGGAAGGAAACTGGGAGAGGATCCTCTCTGGGTGGCTGACACCCACGAGCGCAGTGAGGTGACTTGCCCAGGGAAATACAGACAATATTACTTCCAACAAGAACTTATTGCTATTACTACTACTACTACTACTACCACCACTAGACAGCCCTGTTGTGTGCCGGGCCTCGTGCTCTGCGTAGATTTTCTTACTGTGAAGCCGGTGCTGTTCTTTGACAGATCAGAGAACTGAAGTCCAGAGAGGTTAACTAATTTGCTCAAAGTCACACAGCTTCTCAGCAGTCCAGCTAGATTTCCAACCCTAGCCATCTCACCGGGCAGCCTGCCTCTTGCTGCCTCTGCCACCCGTGTTCTGGGTTACTGGGCATCTACTGCGTGCCGGGCACTGCCCAGGTGACAGAGACATGTCTGACCAGGGAGATGGGATGGGCACCCAAATATGGTGTCTGAAGACACAGCAGTGGCTTCTGTGTCCCCTATCCATGGGTCACTGTTGCTGGGAATAATCCCACCCAGAGCCACTGTCCCGGGTGACCTGGCCCCCAACCCTGGTGTCCTGCCCACCCCCCTGACTTCCCAGAGGCCGCCCCTTCCCACGCAGCTCCCCAGGTGCCGCTGCGCCCGCCCCTCAGCGTAGGGCCCTCCCTCTCCCCGTTTGTTAACAGTTTGCGGACCTGACAGACGCTGCTGCCCGCAATGCGGAGCTGCTCCGCCAGGCCAAGCACGAGGCCAATGACTACCGGCGCCAGCTGCAGGCTCTGACCTGCGACCTGGAGTCCCTACGGGGCACGGTGAGCTGAGCAGAGCCCGAGGGGGGTGGACGGGGTGGTAGGCTGGGTATGGCCAGCGGAGGGAGGCGGGGGGACAGGCCGTCACAGGGAATGCTGCAGGAGAAGGGCCCAGGGCGACCCCAGGACTGGAGGCGGGGCCTCAAAGCACCCTCGAGTAGGTCCGGTCCGGGGGCGTGAAGGCACCTCCAGGGACAGACTCGCTCCATCCTGCAGAACGAGTCCCTGGAGAGGCAGATGCGGGAGCAGGAGGAGCGCCATGCGCGGGAGGCCGCGAGTTACCAGGAGGCCCTGGCCCGGCTGGAGGAGGAGGGGCAGACCCTCAAGGACGAGATGGCGCATCACCTGCAAGAGTACCAGGACCTGCTCAACATCAAGCTGGCGCTGGACATCGAGATCGCCACCTACAGGAAGCTGCTGGAGGGCGAGGAGAACCGGTGAGCGCTGACCGCGGAGCTGGGGAATCCGCCCTGCTGCTCCTCCCTAGCGTCGCTTGGTTCCCTTAAGGGACTTATTCAGCCTGTGTCCAGCCCCCTGCTACCCCAGGGCCCAGCACAGTGCTGCCTAACGCACAGTAGGTATTCAATGAATGCTTGATGAATGAACGAAGGAACGAATGAATGGATTCAATTCAACCAATGCTGATTAGGTCCCAGAGCAAGGACTTGGGTCACCTCCCCTAACCCGAAAGCCTCATCCCCCACCATCCCGACAAAATTGGACTTCTTTTCCCCAGACCTCGCTTTTCTGCCCCCTTAGAACTTGCTTTGCCGCTCTCCCCTCCCCTCGGCCGTCTTCCAAGCCCAGACTTCCCATCCGATGGGCATGTTCGCCGGTAACGCCCAAGCCCCCTGCGTGCTCCTGGAGCCCCGGCTTGCTGGCTGCTGCGGAAAGTTAGGAAGTGTGCTCCTCACGACAACCCCGAGCCGGGACCTGGCCTGGGGTGTCCCCGGGCAGCCCGGTCACCCCCTCCCTCTGCTGTCTTTCAGCATCACCATTCCCGTGCAGACCTTCTCCAACCTGCAGATCCGAGGTCAGTAGAGGGGGGGGCCGTGTGCCCGGGGTGCTGGGTTACTACTGCCCCTCCCCCAGGCCTGGGGGCTGCTGCTCTGGGCCAAAAGGGCCTGGGGCTCTCCCTGAGGGCTTTCCTGATTCACCGCAGAGCTTCTGGCCAGACGACACCATCCCGGGCCACTTCAGGTGGGGCTCGCAGCCACCCCTGCCCTGCTCTGCCCTGTGGCCCTCTTCTGTCCCCATACCCCATTCTGCCACAGAATTGGATGAGGGCCTCAACCTGTCCACAGATCCCTGAGCAAGCTCTGCTCATCTGAGTGTTTTATGTGTTTTTTTTTTTAACTGCTTGTCACTGCAGGGGGCAAAAGCACCAAAGAAGGGGAAGGTCACAAGGTCACAAGACATCTCAAAAGCCTCACAGTACAAGTTATTCCAATTCAGGCTCACCAGATTGTAAACGGAGCCCCGCTGGCTCTCGGTTAGCCGCCTGCGTCGCAGACACGGTGCTTCTCTCCCCTTGGCAGGGAGGGAGCCCCCCCAAGTCCCCGTCCCCCGTCCTCCTCTCGGGCTCTGTCCTCCCGGGTGTCCCCGACAGGCCAGCCTGTGTCTTCTCCCTAGCACCCTCAGTGCCCCGCCCAGGACCCGGAGCAGGGGCGGATGTAGGTTCAAGGAGCAGAGCTGGCCGGCGTCCGGGCTGTTACGTCCTCCGGTGCTCAGAGGCGGTGCTGCGGGGCCTCGGGCGAGTGCTGGCCTCGGCCTCGCCTCTTCTGCTGGCTCCGTCTGGCCCCGAGGCTCCGCGGCTCGGCTTGATGCTGATTCAGCCCAGAGGATTATTTCCCCTTGGACTGCGGCTCTCGTAGCGAATAAACGTTTACATTCCCTGCTGTTAATTTTAAATATTAGTGAGGTTGACATGTTATATTTTTCTCTCTGAGGGGGGGATAAACTAAATTACTGCTTACTTGTATGTGGCCCTGAGATGATTATCAGCTCTTCTGCTGGCCTAGAAGTTCAGGAGTACTGGATGTGTGTGTCCCGGGGCTGAGTGCAGCATCACACGGGTTAACGGGGGGGGGGGGGGGGCGGGGGGGCGGCCAGAGGCGATGCTGCCAAGTCCCAGACGGTAAAGGGTCACTAACGCCTAGAGAAGCGGCAGGGAGAAAGAAGTAGGGAAGGGGAAGGGGGACAGGAAAGGGACCCACATGCACTGAGGCAGTCATTTCACATACGTTATTTCATTCAACTAACTCCTCACTCCCACCTAGAGCCGTAGGTTCCAGCACCCCCGTTTTGCAGATGAGGAAACTGAGGCTGAGAGAGGCAAACTGACTTGCCCACAGTCGTGTGGCTGGTTAGTGGCTGCGCTGGGACTCGGATTCTGGCCTGCCCGATTTCAAAGCTCAGGGGCTCCTCCCTCGGCCTAGTGCTGGGTTGTCAGACAGCTAGGTGCCAAGGCAAGGGCTTGCGGAGGGACCGAAATGCAGCCAGGCCAGGAGAGCAGCAGGGCGGTGGGCAGAGTAGCCAGGACGTGCCCAACACAGTGGGGACTTGGGGTTGCCAGTCCCTCTGAAGGAGCCGAGGCCCTCCCTGCCCGGTCGCGTGGGCGTTCCCACTCATGACCTGGGTGTGACAGGGAGCCAGGGTGGCAGAGGACGCCTAGCGCCCCGAGAGCCCACAGAAGGCCTCCTCTCTTCGTGCCCACAGAAACTAGCCTGGACACCAAGTCCACGTCCGAGGGCCACCTCAAAAGGAACATCGTGGTGAAGACGGTGGAGATGCGGGATGGAGAGGTGAGGAGAGGAGACCCGAGGTTGGGCCCCGTCGGGCTCTGGCTGCCCCCGGGAATTCCTGGGGCCAGGCTCTGGCATAAAGCCTGAACTGGCACATAGAAGGGTCTTGATAGCTCCCCGGGGAGGCTCTGGAAGAGGGGAAGGAACCTGGATGTAAGTCAGTTCCTCGGCCCCTCCACCGACAGTTTAAGGGGAGCCTGGATGCCCGGGCCACTGGATAGGGTCCTGACTCGGGCTGTCCCCCCTTTCTATCTTGGCTTAGGTAGCCCCAATGCAAGCCCTGGGGGCAGGGGGGGAGGGAAAATGTAAAGTTAGAAGTTTTTGCTCCCAACTTTCCACACCCAGCTAGGTTACGGGAACCTGCCAGAGGAACGGGAAAAGCGGATTCAGCATAACCCATTCCCCACCACACCAGCCCCAGCACTGGCTAATTTTCCCTCGGCAGGAGAGAGTTCTAGTTGCTTTCTTTGAAAACAAAGGCCCAGGGAGGCTGGGGGCTTGCTCAAGGTCCCAGAGCCTGGCGGTCCCAGAGCCTGGAGGTCCCAGAGCCTGGCAGCGGTGGCCCCAGGGTCGGTGTGAGCTCCTAACGGTGGCACCGTGCAACTTCTCTGCCCCTTGCAGGTCATTAAGGAGTCCAAGCAGGAGCACAAGGATGTGATGTGAGGCGGCAACCACTTGACGGCTCCTGCCCCAAAGTGGGAGGAGCCTTCAGTAGGAGACAGGATACTTGCCCCTCCTCCGATAGCCAACTCCCCCAGACCTGAGTCCCGCCCCCTCACCGCAGCTGCCCCCTCCCTCACTATGGCTCTCTGCCAGCTTTTGCCCTAGGATCCATCAGCACTAGGCTTGACAGGCGGCACCCAGCCCACTCCCAGCCACTCGACCTAACAGGGCACTCGCCCCACGGGGGCAGCCTGGAGGGGCACAGCCAGAGCTTGCGCTAGAATTAGGAGGGAAGAGAGAAGTTGGGGAGGGCCTGGAGACCTAATAAATCACCCTCCATATCCTAATCCCAGTTGCCATGGCAACTGTTGCCAGCGCTGGAGGTCTCTGGGCTATCTGGGAAGTGGGTCTTTGAGTTTCCTCGGGCTGCTGGGAGAAAACCGACACTCGGAGACAGGAAGAGGAAGTCCCCGCAGGCGAGGCAGCCCTGGCCCGAGGCTCCTCTTAATCTAGAGGGACCCTGGCCAGTGTGAGAGTCGGCAGGGGTATCCTGCCACCTGGAGTCCTCAGCAGACAGAATTCCTGGCCTGCCCAGATTCCAGAGGGGCCTCCTGAGCGATGACTCAAAGTCTCAGCCCCACAGAGCTGCCATGTGGGCAGGTGGGAGCTCAATTCTCAGCACTAGGGGATCTCAGGAGAAGTGAGAGGGAAAAGGTGCTGGGAAAGAGTGAGGGGGGCACTGCCTGGCCCCTAAGTGTCAGTACAGAGAGGTCAAACCCAGGAGGACTTCCCGTATGTGGCTGTGGTGGCGGGGGGGGGGGGATGGACAGCAGGTAGAGATGGTGGAGGTGGCAGTGGGTGGCAGTGGGACGATGCCAGACATCAGAGTTGGGGTGGTGGGTGACCAGTCACACTTGGCCTCTGGGTCATGGGAACCCAGGACGTGACTCATCCTCTTGAAGATACTGAAACAGGAGAGAAAGGGGCCGCTGTCCCCAGGGGCAGGGCACACCCTGTCCCAGTTCTGAAGGCCCCTTCCTTGCTGCACGATCCCTGTCCACCCAAGCCCCTGAGCCCCTGCTGCTGCTGCTGCCCCCCACCCCCAGGAGAGCCTGCTGGGGGAAGCCAGCCTCCTAGCTCTGCCTCTGTGCACCCCACAGTGGCCTAACGCTTTTCCCTAAGCCAAGGACCCTGTGTCCCCTCTTACTCAAATACAAAGTGTACCCCAGCATTTTAGGTAGCACTCCGTTCTGTAATTCTGGAGACAGGCATGAGCAGAGTGAAGCCCCTAGTCCGTGTTCCTACAGCCTGGTGGGGGGTGGGGGGTGAGAGACACTTTCACCCAGAGCGTCCGCTCTGCTTCCCACGGGAGGACTGGGTGGGGGGGGGGGGCATGGGATTATCTGCACCCAGAAATGGGACTGCAAGGCCTCACTCCAGGGTCCCCCTCTTCCCTCTAAGGCCGCAGGGAGGGAGAAGTGGGAATCTCTCCCTCTTCCCAAGGCTTAGTGCCCTTTCCCTGACCCCCCCCCCACCGCCACCCGCTGACGCTAACGCTCGCGGCCCCACTGCTGCCTGTAGGTACCGAGGTTAATAAAACCACCTGCTGTGTCTCCCCGGAGTGGACTCTGGTCTGTTCAGGAGAAGCTGGGGCTGGCGGAAGGGGGCAGCAAGTTGCCTGGGAGGAGACCCAACTTGTTTCCTGCCGCTGATCCTCTCCAGAGCTCAACCCCGCCCCCCACTACCAGCAGCAGCCACATGACAAATCCCACCTCCGACCTTGCTCCTCTGTAACAGTCCTGGGGCCCCCACACTTGTTCTGAGCCCCTCTTCTCACCCCCCCAGCCCCCAGCATGCGTACAGTTTCTCAGGAAGTCCCTGAATTTGACCTCTGTTTTCCTCACCCATTTCCCCTGTTCTAGTCTCCCTTTCCTCCCACACCTGCCGTTTCTACCAGCCAGTCCAAGGACAAGACTGGGAGGAAGGCGGAGAGAGCGTCTGTGAGTGCCCCCCCACTCTTTCTCTTCCTTCCTCCCCCTGCTACCCCCCATTCAACCAGCGCCTACTTGGCAATCCTCGAAGATGAGAAAATAAAGCACCTCAAACACGGTTTAATACCAAATAGGCCATTTGATACACATTAGGCTCCCTCCTTCCTTCCATGAGCTGCTGAAGTCGGAGGACGTGCCCGCGGGCTGCGTCCGTCCCAGCCTCGGTCCCCATCCCCCACCCGCCTCAGGCTTCCCCACTTCCCGGGTCAGGTTCCAGATGCGCCCCAGAACACGGGGAGCAGGTTGTAACTAACAAATGTGTCCCCACGCCCTTGCCCCCCGTCCCAGCCCAGGGTGCCGACCCAGAGGCATCATCTGGGATCATTGAAGACACACACACTTGAGCACACGGGTCTTCAGGGATGGGGGGCGGGGAGAGCGCCTAGGGAGAGAAGCTGGGCCAGCAGCGAAACAAGTAGCAGCAGCCACGACAAAGGTGAATGGTGACGAAGACCGCCGTGATGAGCAGGTACCCTATTAAGGTGAGCTCCACGGCGGAGCGGACCTCGGGGTCTGAGAACGAGACCTTGTAGTGCCCCCGCGAGGTCACGCCCAGTCGGAACCCAGCGACCCGCACGCCTTGCCGCCAGCAGTAGTAGGTGCCCCTGTCGTCCAGCTGGGTGAAGCGGATGTGCAGGTGGTTGCCGTGGTCGATGAACACCCTCATGGACCTGTTGACGCCCTTCAGGTACTGCGTGCGATACAAGCCCTGGCGGTCCTTGTCCCAGGCCACAGCGTGCTCTGGCCGGGCGCCCGGACAGGACACGATGAGTCCGTGGCCCAGCCTCTGCTGGTGGTACTGAATGGGCACCTGGGGCACCCAGGGCCGGCTGCCCGCTTTGGACAGGTAGTTGAAAATGGCCATCATGCCCCTGTGGGCCGTCGTCGCATTCTGGCAGGGCACCGTGCAGCTCTGAACCAGCAGCTCGGGCGTGTGGGCCTGGGCCTGGGCCCTAAGCTTCCTTGGCACGGCCCGTGAGCCGCAGGACACCACGTCTGGCAGAGTCTTGCGGAAGCGTGGGGAGAGGTCCGGGCTCTGCAGGTAGCAGAGCCCAATGCGCCACTGCTCCCCACGCACCCCGCAGCGGTCACAGGGGGTCCACTCCCAGAAGGTGGTGAAGACATGGAGGCTCCCGCGGTACTCGTCGGCAAAGGGTTCCTGGCCCAGGTCCCTGAAGGTGGCCACCATTCCCTCACTGCTCTGGACGTCCACGTCGTAGGCGTAGAAGTAGTCCCCCTTGCGCGTGCCGCAGAAGTACAAGCCCGAGTCCTCAGGCTGGGCCCGGAAAACCAACAGGCTGAACATGCGGATGCTGAAGCGGGCCAGCAGGGCACTGCCCGCCCGCACGTGGGCGGCCTCGGTCAGCACGCGCCCGTCGAAGTCCGTCAGGACGGTGGTGTGGCTGCTGCCCAGGTGCTTCTGGTAGTACCAGACCACGGCCGGGACCTCCTCAGGCTTACAGTGGCAGGGCAGCTCGAAGCTCATGTCGGCCAGGTAGGCCGCGTTGTCGAACATCAGGAAAGCGGGGCAGGGGGTCCTCTGGAAAATGTCCTCCTTCTCCACGATTTCAAAGGCCTGCAGACTCCCCCACGCCCACAGGAGCACAGCGGCACGGGCCAGGTTCATGCCAGAGGCAGGGAAGGGCCAGAAGGGCCAAGGGGAAACCAGGACACTAAAGGCCCATGGAACTTCTAGAAATCACGGCCGGGAGCGGCATCTTTATGAGGAAAGGACTGCGCCGCCAAGAAAAGAAGCAACAATCTGCAGGGAAAACAGCCAAAGGTGAGGCCGCTTATTCCCAGCTGATGCACAAGATGCCCTTCTCAGGTGACAGATGTGATCTCCAGGAAAGGCCATTCTAGAACCTGGCTCTCCCTCCCCTTTCTAGAACACTGGCGCTCCCCCAAGAATGGGTCAGGAGGAACTGGAACCGGAAGCAAGGGCCTAGGAGCTGGACAGGGAAACCCTTCCTCCGAGCTCCCGACCTCGCCCTGCCTGCGGAGCGGAGAGGTCTCCCTTTTGGTCAGCCAGGGGTCGACGGAAGCCCGCCGCCTTCCCCATCTGGCCATTGGAAAGAGCCGGGGAGGCCGCCCAGACCCACCCTGATGGCCCGGGGCTTTCCCACACCCAGCCTGCCCAGGAACTCAGTCCCCGGGGAAAATACTGCCCCTCAAATAAGGTAACATTTGACCCTTTCAAATATCCATTAAATGGCCATTCACTGGTTTTGCGTTGTAAATATTCTTGTTAAGAGCTATGGAGATAGCCAGTATTTGTTTACCGTGGAGGAGGAATGATTTTGTTTTTTCCCTTTTTGGGGGGCGGAGACTGTCACTAGAGTAGCCGGCATTTGGTTGGGCACTTGCCCGTTTCCGAGGGTGATGAGCCACAGGCGTGGCAGACCCTAAGGGCGGGAAGCAAAGCTCTTTTGACTTCCTGGGCCCCTGGCCACCCTGTGGATCTACACAGGTCAGAATATGGAGCCATTGAAGGGGATGGAGAAGAGGGGAAGATTCGGTTCCAGCTTTTGCTCTGAAGATTCTAAGTTGAGAAGGGACGTGGGTGTGGTCTCTTATTCCAGTCCTGCAGAGCCCCCAGGGCCATGGACCCGAGTCTCCAGTGACCACTGGGGGGCGCTCTAAAGATAACTGGACCTAAAAATCCACTTGGTACAGCTCTAGCAGCTCCTGTAGGAGCCTCTCCTCCTCCTGGTGCCCACCAGGCTGCCCCTCCAGACCCTGCTCCCCCTGGCTGAGACCCTCCTTCTCGGGTGCGGGGGTGCCCATGGCCTGCAGCTTCTGAAACAAGTCTCTGCAGCTCGATCTCTCTGCGCAGCTCATCAGGCTCAGGTTCAGGGCAAAGCGCCCGGTGCTGGCCAGGCTGCGCAGGATCCCCAGCACCGCCAGCCGGTCAGCTGGCCTCACATGATCAGCCAGTGCCACCAGCAGCTCCCCGAGAAGTCCAAACCCCACGTCCGTCTGGAAGAGCTGGCCCAGCTTGGGACCTCCAAGCTGCAGCAGGGCCTGATAGCGCTCCGGCCCGCTCCGCCAGTATCGCCGCCAGTCCCGGTAGAACTCTGCTGAGGTCTCTGGCTGCAGTGGTGTTTTCTCCTAGGCCACAAAAGAGGAAAAGGGAATCCAGAGCTCTTCCAGCTGCTCTGTGACCGCAAGAGTGAGGGGAGCCTGTGGGATTTCATCTTGGCTCAGCTGCTACTGCTCTCTGAGGACTGGGAAGGCTCTGGTCTGTGTGGGTCTCATGTTCAGGTGGGAGAGGGTCCTAAAGAACCCAGGTCATGATTTGAGCTTTTCAGTTGTACCAGGATTTTCCTACTGATGAACGTGAGAGGAAGTCAGGGTTTGCTCTAAGCAGGGCAGAAGGGGCGACTGAAAATCTCGGGAAGAGAGAAAGAACTCAAGGTGAGCGTTAAGGATCCGACAGGCTGGGTCTCCCTCCCAGCACCGGCTCAGGGCCATTGTACTATAAACCAGAGAACCCAGAGCAAGCCAACTCTGTCTGTGAATGCAAGTCAAAGGGCTGACAGCCAGGGACCTGCCTCGCACAGCTTCCTGTTGGTTCTGTGCGATCGCACTCACCCTCACCATCAGATGTTGCTTTTTTTTCTGGGACAGAGGCAGAAACCTGCCTCTGTTGGCTTAACATGAGAAATGAGGAAATGGTATGTGTCGTAAGAAAACGGGACTGGCGGTTTAGGGTGGTGTCCTGCTGGGCCTCACCTACCGGGGAGATGGCAGTGGTTTCATCCTGGAAGGATGTTCCCTGAGTAGTGTGACAGTTCCAGGGTGCCGTCCTCTTTCCTCCAATCTTGTCTTTCCGCTCCAGTGGCCTCAGATGTGATGCCAGGACAATACCCCTGTGGGCAAAGGGCAGGGATTAAGGGATAGACCCAATGCTGTCTGCAACTGTGGGGTAGCTGGACTTAGCATGATACAGGCCGAGCCTGTTGGCCGGTCAGTGTGACAATAATAAAAATAATTAACAGCAGCAACAATAGCTGGTGGCTTTTAAGCACTCCCCATGCCCCAGACATTGTGCTCAGAAGTCTTCCATGTAATAACTCATTCAATCACAGCACTGGCTACTCTCTTTTAAGGATGAGGAACGAAGGCTCAGAGAGATTCAATGACTTGCATTAGATCACACAGGTTGCAGAGGGCAGGACCAGGACTGAGCCCAGAATTGTCCGGCTCTAAAGCATGGGCTCTTATCCGCCACAGTCCACCATAATTGGAGAGCCTGAGAAAAATGACATGAAGCCAACCTGAACTCCTCATAGGAAGCCACCCTCTGCTCCATTGCCCGTAGCTTGGCAGCGTTCTCACGCTGGTACTTCTCATCAGCGGTGAGTGCAGCCTGCAGCTCTTTCTCCAAAGCCTTGAAGTCAATGATGTCATTCCTCTCCATGGCCTGTGCCTGGGAAGACAAAGGGAATGGACCCAAGTGGAAGGTCAATAACAGAGGAAGGAGAGGGCGCCTGGATTCTTTGCTAGCCCACAAAATGACCCAAAACACTCGGGATAACTTGTCATTCATCTTGGGTCGGGGGGGGGGTGTGTTTACAAAAACCTAGTTCTCTATAGAGTTACACATTGAGGATTCGCTTAAGATTCATTGTCACTGAAAATAAAATACGAGTCCTGACTTTCCGTATGGAGCCATGTCTTTATTTTTTTCTCTGTCTCTAGAAATATTTTAACATCAGTGCTTTAGATGAGAGAACATTTGGATCTCAGGATTCAGTCCCCGTCACTTTTCCACACAGCGAGCGGCACTTGAGCGACCTCTTTAGTTCTGCAGCCAGCGCGTATCTGACGCTGAGGGACCTGTTCGACAGGGAGATCATGTATGTGGGCTCCAGTCTTGGCTCTGGCTTTTACGCGCCGTGAGACCCCGTGGAACCTCAGATGCCCGTGCAGCGAGCTAGATGCTGCGGCGGAGTCATCATCAACAGGCAGGTCAGCAGGGTGTCCGCCAGCAAGCCTATATCCCTCCCCCGCCACCCCGATGTGCGTAAGCTGAACACCGAGAAGGGGGCTGGACTGACCAGGAATTGAACTGAGATGTTCTGGTTTCTGTCCTGTTCTGAATAAACAGAACTAACCCTCTTGCCCCCCGACCGTCGCCCCAACAGCCCTGCCCTTGGTTCCCTCGCTTTCTTCCGAGATTGCCAGATAACTCGGGTACAGAACTGCTCACCGTAGACCACAACCAGCGGCTTTGGTTGCCTAGCAACTACTCCACCTCCCTGCCCACGTGATCGGCCCGAAGGCCCCCTTGCAGTGTGGTCCGGAGGCGCCTGATCAGACTCTATACTCGTCAGGCCTCACTCTCTTTGGAGCGGCCCACGGCTCGGTTGGGGGCCCACAACTCCACCTCGCCCGTCCTGTGTCCGCGGCCGCCATTGCTCCGAGCTGGTCCTCCGGCAGAGGGCTGTCCTCCGCGGCAGAAACGCGACTGCGGCGTCTGCGGGGTCCTTCCGGACACCGGGCGCAGGCGGTGCGGCTGCGTGGGGCGGAAGGCGGTCTCCGTTGGCCTACCTGGAGCTTTGGGCTGAGCAGGGGCGAGGTGAGCTGGGCTGCCGCGGGCCCACGGCATGGGAAAGTTGCTACGGTGGGATGGGCAATTAAGTAACGTCAGATCTGGGAGAGGCTTTCTATACTATTTGCCTCTTTCACTTTACACGTGGGTAAATTGAGGTGTGGAGCGGGAAAGGGAATGAAAGACCCGCCCCCCCCATTTCAGGATTCCAGGATTCCGGGATTCCTTCGTTGCTGTCCATCCGTAAAATCCTTTCCTTGGGCTGGGGTTATTCTTTCACTGTTCTGCTAAGCTTCCTCAATCCTTATTCTGCATTCCTTGGAGAGCCCGCCTTATAGCGGGGAGTTGCAGTGAGGTGCGGTACCGAAAGGTACTAGCTCTGTGAGACTGTGGGCGAGTCAGCTATGTTCTCTGTGCCTTATTGGAGTCATTCATTCATCCATTCAACAAATACGTATTGAGGCCCTGTATTGTGCCAGGCACTGTTCTAAGTGTGTGTGTGTCTGTGGGGGGCGGAATAGAGTCCTTGTTTAAATTGTGGTTGGGGGAGATGACAGTAAACACATTGATCGATGTACTTCAGCTAGTGGTAAATATTAATAACGGTGAAACAGCGAACGTGGGGTTGGAGAGTGTGAGGGCGACTTTTTTAGAGTGACGGATGAAGGTTTCTCAGAAAACGTGGCACCTCTATAGAGACCTGAGTGAAACAAAAGAACGAGATATAAATAACCCAAAAGAAGAGCATTTTAGAGGAGAATAGCGCGTACAAGGACCCTGAAGCAGAGACTACCTTAGTTTGTCCCATGAACAGCCTTATATAAAAATGTCTGCAGTCAGTTTATAGATCTTGGGGGAGTGAAATGTGACAGCCCTTTGGAAGTGAAAGGAATCTCTGTTCATGTTGAGAGTTACAGGACCCTGGCTGGTGTGGCTCAGTTGGTTGGAGGGTTGTCTCATAGACTAAAAGGGTCTCAAGTTCAAGTCCCGGTCACAGAATATACCCAGGTTGCAGGTTTGTTCCCTGTTTGGGGTATGTACAAGAAGGTAACCAATTGCACCCAATTGGTCTCTCATTAGTTATTAGTCCGTGGAGCTGGTAATTCTGTCTTTTATCTACAATCAGCACTCAACAGGTTGCATCGAAGGAGGCAGAAGGATTAACCTAGGGCAAGAAATAACAGTCTCTCAAAATTAAACATCCCATCCATTTATATTTAATAGTGCCTACTGATGCACATGGCACATAGGGTCCCGGGGGTCAAGAGTGGCCAAAAAATAACGTTAGCTAACATTTATTGAGCCTAGGACTCTGATAAATTCTTTACACAGACTATTTTATTTAATGCTCATACTCTTTCATGCAGTGCAAATTGTTCACTCCATTTTCCAGCTGCCGAAACAGGTTTAGAGAGGAGAAGCAACATACCTGAAGTTGCACAGCTATGAAGTGACAAAGTTAGGATTCACATCCAAGTTTTCCAGCTCCAGAGCCCAGGCCCTTAGCCCATGCTTCGCTGTGTTGTTTATGACTGGTGAGCTATAGAGTTGTTGGTGATGGTGATTAGCACAGTTAACTGCTGTGCAGAATGATTACGTGCTGATAAAGGTGCAGAAGGCTGCAGCAGCATAGGGGAATGGGAAACTGGGGATCTAGGAAAGCTTGAAAGAGGTGACATTTGTAGTTCAAATAGAATTTCAGGAATTGCAGTAGAGAAAACCCACAAAATACGTGCCAATTACAAAGAGAACACAAGTAACTTTACAGTAGAAAAGCCTGGCAGCCACCAGTGTAATCAAGTGATTAAGGTAACATCCCCACTGAGGGGACAAATTAAAATCACGTACTGCCCTCGCCAGTGTGGCTTCGTTGGAGCATCATCCTGTAACCAAAGGGTTGCAGGTTCAATTCCCGGTCAGGGTGCATACCTAGGTTGTGGGTTTGATCCCCGGTCCAGGTGCATACAAGCGTATGGGAGGCAACCAATTGGTGTTTCTCTCTTACATCAATGTTTCTCTTTCTCCGTTCCTCTCTCTTTAAAAAACTAAAATTATGTACCACCTGGTAGGAGATGTACTAGAAAGAACACAGCATCACTTCTGTGATATTCCTGCCAGAAATGCATAACCTTAACCTAATCGTGGGGGAACACCAGACACACCCAAGTTAAGGGACATTCTACAAACTCGCTAGCCTGTAATCTTCAAAAGTGTCACGTCCTGAAAGTCGAGGAAAGACCGAGGAACTGCTCCAGAGGGAAAGAGACTGAAGACATGACAGCGGAATGCCGTCGTGCAGCCCCAGGCTGGGTCCTTGGCTCTGCCGGACACCATCAGGACAGTTCGTGAGGCTCGGGGTCTGTGGATTAGGTGGTAGTGATGTGTCCAGTTCTCCGATTTTGATGGTTGTGTGACGATTACGTAGGGAGATGTTCCTGTTTGTCAGAACCACACACACTAACGCAACAGTTGGCAGGCCTTTTCTGTAGTAAAATATTTTAGGCTTTCTGGGCCATATGGGCCCAGTGGCAGCTGCGCAGCTCTGCTGATGCAGTGCGAAAGCAGCCATAGACGATATGAATGAAGGAGCAGGGCTGTGTTCCCATGTGGCTGTTTTTGTAGACGTTGAAATTTGAATTTCATGTAATTTCCCTAGATCATCAAATAGCATCCTTTCGCGTTTTCTACTCTTTGAAAGTGTGAAAGGCTTTCTTAGCTGGAGGGCCGTGTGCCGGCGCCCGCACCGAAGTCTTGGGTGCTGACGAGGCCTGGTGTCCGCAGTGTGTGTTCAGATGATTTAGGAAAAAGAAAGCTATTTGTACTGATTTTGAGACCTTCTGGTAGTAAGGTATTTTACATTTCTTCAGTATTACAAAAAAAAGAGTGCGTCAACAGAGACAGTGAGTAGGGGAGAGGGGAGGGGAGAGCACAGGGCCGTGGGGAGTGGCCAGTAAGTCGGGGTGATTGCAGAGGCGACGTGGGAAGGGGTCTGGCCGACTGTCAGCCTGGACAGGCGGGGCCGTGACACGGAGGCCCTATGACCGTGCCAGAACCTGACTCCTCCTCTTAAATTCCAGCACCATGGATACCGACTTGTATGATGAGTTTGGGAATTACATTGGCCCGGAGCTAGATTCTGATGAAGATGATGATGAATTGGGCAGAGAGACCAAAGATCTTGATGAGGTAAGACAAATCATTGCTTTTTTCTTCTCTTTCTTTTTTTTTAAAAAAGCGATAAAGTACTGATTCCTCCGTGTTCTCATGAAACCTGTGTATATCTCTAACTTTGCCCTGTTTGTAATATGACTCATTGCCCTGATCGATGCGGCTCAGTTGGTTGGAGCGTCATCCTGTAGACAGAAGGGCCACCGGTTCGATTCCTGGTCAGGACACATACCCAGGTTGCAGGTTTGATCCCCAGCTGGAGCACATATGAAAAGGCAGCCAAGTCAATGTTTCTCCCCCCCTCCCTCCTTCCCTCCCCCTCCCTCTCTCCCCCTCTCCTTCTCTCTCCCTCTCTCCCCCACTTCCCTCCTTCCCTCTCTCCCTCTCCCCCACCCTTCCTTTCTCTCTAGAAGCAGTGAAAAAAGTGCCCTCAGGAGGGGATAAATAAAATATAATGTGACTTACTGGGGTCTTCTACTGCACCTAACCTAGGACCTTAGCCACTGGAGTTCCAAAAGGAAATAAGAGACAGTGACCTTTTCCAACCGCAGCTGCACCGGGAACTTTCCCATAAGCTCAGATTTTGAAAGATGAATAAAAGCAATAGAAAGCGAAGGCGCAGACGCCTACAACTCCCCTTCGGGAGGGCTGTGGGGGATGAAGTCCAGAATGGTCAGAGGCTTGCGGAGACGCCAAAGGTGGCTCGTATGTTTTAGCCATGTTCAGAGCAAGAAGTCAACGGGCCCACTGCTCATCAGTGGGGGTGGGACAGTGACAAAACATCAGGGAAGCAGAACAAATGTCCCGGCTGCCATCTGCCTTTTCCAGCAGGGAAAATGTCCTTTGAACTAGAGAAAGTAGAATAGACGCTGGAGAAAGGACACTGAAGCCACCGAAGTGGAGTGGAGAGAGCATCTTGCAGCCTTAGCTGCATCCAGGGCTCCAGGCCCAGGTGCGTCGGTCCTGGGTGGGCCGGTGGGAGGCCTTGCAGAGGTTAGCTGAAAGCCACCGCGGTCATCTTTAAGGAACGGGACACTGGCTGTGGCACCAGGAGGTTAATCAGGCGACTCGTCCTACTTTTCAAAGACGGAGGTGAGGCACTGCATCTCAGAAACTGCAGCTAGTGTGATACGCAGCTGTGGTGAAAATTATGGAAGGGGTTTTTAAAACAGGACAGCGAACACTTAGGAAGCTTGTATAAGTGTTTTGTTTTAATTTTCCTTTTTGCAGTGACGAGATTGAGGTACAAGTTAAGGGTATGCTGTGGATATCATGCGTCTTGATTTGGGCAAGGCATTCGATGTCTTATTTTTTCTTATAAACCAACTATTTTCTTTGTAAAAATATTCTAAAGAGATCATTTTTGTTATACAAGTGATTCATGCACACATTCCCATTCGCACCAAACGGACGGGAAGTATTGCTCGGTTCCTACTCCACTCCCCGTCCTGAGATGGCCGCTGTGCCTCCTGATAGTCTTGTGGGGAGGATATGGGCTGGGTCCTAATACGAAAAGAGGTCACAGCCACTGAACAGTGGTAGCGAAAGTGTTTGGATTAATGGGTCACTGCCAGAGCTCTTATGACATGCCCCAGGCATCTGTGCTCGGTCCCATCCTTTT